ATAATAATAATAACACACACACACACACACGAGTTAATGCCAATGCAGCACATATGGTCGTCTCCCTTGCCAGCCCCCTGCAAAGAAACCCTGCGGCTACTTGCCTTCTTCGTGAAATCCAGATTGCTGGAAAAGAGAAGCAGGTTTTTCTGAGCAGTATCCTATTACTTGGTTAAGTGAGGCAAATGCTATTTTGGTTCATCCTATGAACTAAGATCATGGCATCCGGCCCCATCACTCCTTGGCAAATAGAAGGGGAAGTCGTGGAAGTAGTGACAGACTTCACGTTCCGGGGATCCCAGATCACCGCAGACTGTGACAGCAGCCATGAAATTAAAAGACGCCTGCTCCTTGGGAGGAAAGCGATGGCGAACCTAAACAGCATGATAAAAAGTAGAGACATCACCCTGCCAACAAAAGTCCGCATGGTCAAAGCAATGGTATTCCCAGTAGTCATGTATGGCTGCGAGAGTTGGACTATAAGGAAGGCCGAGCGCCGAAGAATAGATTCTTTTGAACTATGGTGCTGGAGAAGACTCTTGAGAGTCCCTTGGACTGCAAGGAGATCAAATCAGTCAATCCTAAAAGAAATCAACCCTGACTGTTCCCTGGAAGGCCAGATAATGAAACCGAAGCTCAAATACTTTGGCCACCAAATGAGAAGGGAGCACTCACTGGAGAAGACCCTGATGCTGGGAAAGATTGAAGGTCAAAGAAGACGGGGACGGCAAAGGATCAGATGGTTAGACAGTGTCATCGATGCAACGAACATGAAACTGAGCAAACTTCAAAGGACGGCAGAAGACAGGAGGGCCTGGCGGGAGCTGATCCATGGGGTCGCGAAGAGTCGGACTCGACTGTGCGACTGAACAACAATAATTGTCTTCTGTTCTTCTTTACTACTAATTCATAGCCCCTATAAACATTTACTATATTTCATTACCCATGATCATTATCATACTACATCCTCCAGGGGCCCCTCATTCATCTCGCTAATTTGCCCTCCTTGATGATTTACCCTCCAAGGTATTTATGCATTTATTTGCCCTTATGTTCTAAGAGTTGAAACATTCTTTGGAATTCTTTTACCACTTCTTCCTCAGAGGGCATTCTAATCTCCAGGCCACCTTGCATCTTTTATAACTCATCACTATGCTTATCTATTACTTTACATCTACAGTATGTTCCATATTTCCATGCAAAACTTAAAAGTATACCAGTTAAATCCAGTGGCCATTTACAACAACTATAAAGCCATTTATAGCAGCTGTCATGGTAGTGTCACCACTGTTTAAATCTTGGTTGATACAATTGGACTTACTGATCGCTCTTGATTCAACAATCTTATGTCACAGACTCCCTTTGTTGAAGAGTGGTGATTTTCAGGTCAAGCAGCAAAGCACCCTGAGCTGGCCATAACTTGGAGGGCAGGGTATAAATGTAATAAATAAAAATAAATAAAATAAATGTTTTCTCCCAGTGGTTTCTGAATGTTGCTTTTTAAACTTCACATTGCTCAGTTTCTGCCATCACAATAAATGATAGGGGTTTTTTATGGTGCCTCAAGCATCTGTTTTTGGTGCAGAAGAGCAACTCAGCTGTCTAACTGGAACTGGATTCCTTATAACAAAGGAAGTCCTGATGTGGGTTCCCACATCATATGCTGCATTTGCTCAATAATCATACCCACTGGTAAACTGGAAGCAACCACCACAGAGAGCTATTTGCTAGAGAAGAACTGGCTACAGGGTTGGTCTGGCCCTTGAACACACCAGAAAGGTCCCAGTAGGCCACTGTTTTATTAGCAGACCCATTGCAGCGCTGGAAGCACCACAAATAGCTGTATGCCTTAGACACAGGCAATGATAATGACACCTGTTATCACCATAGCCTGAGTCTGTATTGATTCATTCCAGCAGCACTGAAAGGGCAATCTGGCTCAGCTTGCTCCAGGGCTATTTGAAGGAAGTCCACCTAGGGCTGCCAAACTTCAGGTGGGGCCTGGAGAGATACCAGAATTTCAACTGACCTCCAGACTACACAGATCAATTCCTCTGGAGAAAATAGCAGCTTTAGAGGAGAAACTCCATGGCATCACATGCCTGCTGAACTCCCTCCCCTTCCCAGACTCCCTGCTTCCCATACCTCACCCCCAAATCTCAAGAAATTTCTCAACCCGGATTTGGCAACCCTATGTCCACCAGTGCCCAGAGGAGGAAAAAAGAACTGGCCTAAGGGTATGTGTGCCCAGTCCTGCCCCGTGGGTCACTGAAGCTGCAAGGGAGCTTCAGGGGGGGGGGAGAATTGGGAGTTTTGAAAACATATTTCCCAGAAATGTACACGTACATGCGTGCACACGCACACACACCCTCTTCTCCAGGAGGACACTAGGTTTTCTGCACAGTTACAGAATCTAGCAGCATCTTTCTGTAGCCATATATCCATTGCAGAGTAGAAAGAGGAGAACAGGGAGAGTGTTTGGACAAGGGGTTACGGTTGCTGGCTGTGAGTTGGAAATACATGGAGATTTTTGGAGTGGAGCCTGGGGAGAGCAGGGTTTGGGGATGGGAGGGACCTCAGCAAGGTATAACTCATCAGAGTCCATGCTCCAAAGCAGCCATTTTCTCAAGGGGAACTAATCTTGGTTACCTGGAGATCAATTGTAATAGCAGGAGATCTCCGGGTGCCACCTGGAGGTTAGCAACCCTACAAGGGGTGGAGAAAGAAAAGTTAACTGAGGTACAATCCAAGGAGGGAGCCTAAAGGCCAGTTGTCACCTTCCCCTCACCCACGGCGTACAGCTTAAATAATCACAAGTAGATGAAACATTGATCTAGCAAGTCCCCCCCCCCTTCACATGCCTCACACAGGAGATGTGCTAGATCTCCCCTACTCAAGACAGGCACTTCTCAGCTGAAGCGGAGAGGCGGCCCTCCAAATTGGTTCCATGGCACTGGGAAGCATGGCATGGCTAGGGAAGCTAGGAGTCGGAAGTTGCAAAGATAAAAGTTTAAAATATTGCTTCCTTGATATCCCTTCTCTCCCTTAACATGCCAATCTGTCAAGTATATGCCCAAGCAAACACGCATTCAGAGACATACGCCTGTCCGCACCCTGCTAATAGAGCTGCTAACATCTAGGTAACTTCGTGCTTGATCATATTTCTGCTTGTTCTACAAAGAAAGATCAGCTGGTCACATACAATTAACCTGCTTGGGGAGCAGGAGGCATAACAGTCATGGAAACAGAATAAGAAAGTGAAACAGTACACAAAGAGGTAGAGGCTAGGACTACAGAATCTGACAACCTACGCTCAATGACAGGCCAATAAAACACAAAGATGATGGTTCAGAAAGACACTATTACTGGGCCCTAATTGCCTGTGCCAAGCACAAGGAGCAAAGATTACCAAGAAGAAGGAGATCACAGAGAAAGGAGATAGCAAAGGAACAATAGGGCATTGCCAGAATGAGTTTGACTAGGGGTAGCCAGTGATTTGCCAAACAGAAATACAGTGGATACCTTGCCACCAGTGAAGGCTAGGCAACTTTTGAGTGGTTAAAATAAAGATGCATGGATAGGGGGAGAAGACTTCAAGGGTGGCATAAAAAGATTGCTTTGGGAAGCATCTCTGAATAGTTCATTGCTGCAAGGGTATACCAGAGGCAGGAACAACTGAAAGAATGGAATACTTTCAAACAGAACTTCAAAGGAGAGAGATGACTAGCCAGCATACGGCAACTGAGGACAGACTCAACTAGCAAGCATAAAAGGTGTCTGAAATGGGTGTAGGTGTATTGGGATCTATTTTGTGGCAAGCAGTTCTGGGGGTGGTGATAACAAGATAGACAGGAAAGCACTGATGGCACAAGTAGAAATTAAGCCAGGGTCCCCGCCCCCTGTTAAAGCAAATGAAACTATTACACCTAGTAAAGAGAAAAGGGTTTATACCAGGCAGACTGTGGGAGAAGGCTACAATGGGCAGCATGCCAAACGAATACACTGCAGAAGAAGACAGAGAAGGTCCATCAGTGCAGAGGTCCATCAGTGGCTATTAGCCACAAGGTAGGACCTCTCAATCTGGGGCAAGGGATGCACTGTATTCTTGGTGCTGGGGGGTCAACAGTGGGAGGGCTTCTAGTGTCCTGGCCCCATTGCTAGACCTCCTGATGGCACCTGGTATTTTTGGCCACTGTGTGACACAGAGTGTTGGACTGGATGGGTCACTGGCCTGATCCAACATTGTTGGATAAAGGAGCACAAACAAAGCCATGAGAAATGCCTAATTATCTTGTCTGCTTGTCAGAAAGTCTTAGAAATGTGAGTATGACACTTTTATAGATTAGTCTTGATACCAGCTGCTTGGTAATAGTTCTCTGCATACTACCCATGTCAGCAACATTCACACCTCAGCCCTTTCTATTTCTTTCTTTTCTTCAGTTATTGCTACTCCCTCCTCATACTTTTTGCGCTCTGGGTTACAGGGACGGGCGGGTCAGGTGGAGAAAAGGTTGTTTAAAATGCCAATATAAAGTAAGTTACACAAATGAAGCAACCAAGAAAATGACAACAGAAACAAAAATTAACTACCTGAAAATGGGGTGTGTGTCAGAAGACATAAAAGAGGGCCCATTCAGCAAGTAAAAGAGCTTTATTAAAAGGTTAAACATAAAGCCTAAGCAGCAAGTGAAGTAAAGCGTAAAGCCAACAAAGGACGGGGGGGGGGGCATATCTTGGAAGCACCAGACACCAGTGCAGACTGGGTACAGTTCCAAGGACTGAAGTAGACTAAGTAATCAAGAGCACCTCCCAACCCACATCTCTCTACTTCATAACTACCCATCCATAAAGCTTAAGGGGGAACCTCCAGCGTAAGTACCTTGACAGTTGGAAGACTGACCCTGCAAAGAAGGAAAGCTAGAAGCTATACATTGAAATAAATAAAAAAATAAGCATCCTTCAGTGGGAAAAGAAGACATGGGCTTTCCTTCCTCACTTACCTCCAGTTAGACCACCTTCTGACACAACCAGTAGTGTCGCCAGCACACCCGCTGAAGAACCCCCTCTAGACAAATGGCAGCCTCCGTGTGGCACCTGGCTATTTATACCCCCCTGCACCGGCTCGCATCCGCAAGCCGCGCCCACACTCACCTCAGCTTCTGATAGGTTAAGAGAGGGTCCTCATTTCGACGACAACAGCCGAAAGGGAAGAGTATTCTAGTATGGGGGGGGGGGAATTTTTCGCTGCAACCTCTCTCTCTCCCCAGTCCTCGCTCGCGCCCAGCTCAACCTATCGGGGGAAATGGGCGCGCGTAACACGCTTCTTGGCGGTTGAGCCGCTCGCGGCGGTTGCCATGGAGACCATTTCATCCAACGGCTCGGATGGTGACGAACCGAACTATTTTGGTGCAGAAAGAACGGGAAGGTGACGTCATCTCAAGCACAGTTGGCGAGGAGTGATGCCATTGTTTCCCCCTGACGGCAGTTATGTCGCGAGGCCTGTGACTTGTGGACGTTATTCAATTTCAAGTCGATGTGCCTGTATTTTGTGCGTATGTACATGCACACAAACTAACAACGTACAAAATACTTCGTTTTACATTTTAAAAACCCCAACTTTTAACATTGTAAACTTATTTTGACATTGTACACTGGACATTAAGATTCATTTATTGGTTTGATTTGTGTCTGGCTTTGTGATTGGAGTCCCTGCAGCTGCATATACCAAGTAAATTTATTATTTAGGGGAAAAATTAAAAATTACTTGAAGGGAGTGGGGAGAGGAAAGACTGCAAACAAAATACCAACATTTCCAGAAATAAATAAATTACAGATGTTATTGTTATAATCCCAAATACACATCTATATTTTTTAATTAAAAAGTCCATTAGAAAAATTCTAAAAATAAAATAATATTTTTATTAAGACTAGGATCTGCCAAAAGGTGGAGTCAGGCATTTTAGAGTTCTGGTGTTACAAATAATCTCCAGATTTTATTTATTTATCCTTCCATTTGTATACCGCTCACCCCCTGAGGGCTCTG